GTGAGGCAGACAAACATCTGGAGCCTGTTCCCAGTGTGCCCATGTGCAGAGTTGCCAGATGAAGGGGACAGCTAAATAACAGGGGTCGACTTGAATAAGGCCACAGATGGAGGATGAATGGCCCTCCCAGAGGACGTAAAAGAGGAGCAAAAGGGGAGTGGAGTTTGCAGGAGACAATTAGTTCACCTAATTGGTTCGTAACTCTCCAAGACTCCTTGCCAAGTTTTGAAGATATCGGCCTGGCAGCTCTCCAAACCAGATAAGGTCTGTGACTGTAAATCCTCCCTTGAAAGACTTTGCTGGATGTGAATGAGCAGAATTCACAGTAAATTAATAAAGGGTTTTTTTGTCAGGACAAGGAGTTTGCTTCATGCTCTTGGGAAGCCTAGGTTAGAACAAAATGCAGTGTTTGATTTGAAGGTACATTTATTTATTACATTTATTTTAAAGATTTATATATGCGCCCCAACTAATACAAGTGCAACTCTTGGTGGCGAACAACAAAAGCAAATTTACAATACAACAAAAAATAGAAACAACCGCAAAAGACACAGTTGACGTACAAGGGGCACGCTTCTCCAGTGTCCTAGCAATAATGCCTGAGGGAACAATGAAGCCTATGAGGCCTTCCTAAATGGCTGACATCTGCTGTGTTTCCAACATAAGATGAAATGTAACTGGCAATTATGGAAAAATAAGGAGTAGATGTTAGAAAACCAGCATTTGCATAATCCATGGTTTCTGGCTGTGGGCTTTATCCATTTTTTTTCGGTCTGCAAATATGGGCAGGTTGAAGCAAGCTTTTTTTTTTTAATTCCTGCGTGTTTGATAATGCTGTTAAAGAAAAGAAAGAAACCTGGTTATCATTATCCTTTGTGAGAAGCAAAGATCTTGGAGACAATGTTTATCCCTCACCCTCATTTTGGGCATACTTTATGCCCCCTACCCTCATCTTGGGAAGTTTGCGCTTTCTACTTCATTTAACAAGCTGATCATGCACTGACTCATCTGTGCTGGCTGGGTCTCAGTTCCTCCAAAACTCCTAAACCTGGATTTTCCCTTCTTATGTAAGGCATTGTTCCTTCATGAAACTGAGAATACCACTTTGAATTATATTGTACTCAACAGGGCTAGGAAGCTGCATTTGTATGAAGAACTTGTATTTGAAGCAGTGAGAGTACAGAATTGTGAGGGACAACACCATTGCAGGATAAATTAGAATAGGTATCATGAGAAAAAAATGATACACCTGTAGACTATTACCTATGTAATGTAAAGGTAAAGGTTCCTCTCGCACATATGTGCTAATCGTTCCTGACTCTAGGGGGCAGTGCTCACTTCTGTTTCTAAGCCAAAAAGCCAG